AATCACATATGTATTATTGCAAGTAATCAGTTTTATATACAAATGATCACGATTGCCACTTTTCTTTATGTATTACTGCCATCTGCTGGACATTTTAATGTACAAAAAAAAACTAAATTTACTTTTTGCATTGGTTTTGTAAATTTGGATTTTGGAGAAAAAAAAATGTAAAACATTATTTTGTTAGGGATCTTCCTAATTTATCTAATGTTTTGTAGTGAGCTAGTGGAAAAAAAATCAGTGTTTAAACGTCTTTAAGGAGATCATTTGTAGTACGATTGTTTAAAACCTTTGTTATCTATCAAACCTTAACATGCATGCTTAGTGTGAATGATTGCTGTTCAGTTAATGAGTCAATGCAATCAGCAGATTTTCCTTAAATAATAAACTTTGAACAATTCTGGCTAAATATATTTAAGTGTTTTTCATTTTAACAATACGCTACAGATTCTATATCAGATCACAGCTTTTCCTCAGTCTCTTTGGTGCATTTCTCACATCAATATTAAGATTTTCAAAGCTAGTTCAGCCCCCACAACATTAAGACGTTTTGCACCTCATAGTAGCAGTTAATCATTCCTTCCAAAAATCTGCAAAAGCTTCTGAAAATTCATTAGTCGCTTTCATGCAATTCTCTGCTGTTTTATAACATTATCATTAGCTTACTGTTTTTCTCAATTGTTTACACACAAACCCTGGTAGTTTAGGAACAACGAGCACAACATGCAATTTATGGACCAACTCCTTGGACCAGTTCTGCTAAACTATAAACACAATTCTTGCTCTCTTTTGTAGGTTTGGTTCTAAAACACACTTTTGTAAAAAGGAAAATGAAAAAAATAAGAAGAAAGAAAAGAAAAGAAAAAAATGAGACACAATTCTTGTGCATTTAACATAGTTTTGTCAAGTAAAATATCTTCAAAAGAAGCAATCTATCATTCAAAATTATAAAAGCAATCTGACTTTCCACATCTTATCACACAGGCCAGTTCCTGTCACAAAATTTTAAAATTAACAATCAAAGTTTGAGCAGAAAAAAGGCCAGTAATGTTAAATGCATAAAAAAAATAATGAGACCTTCTCTTTTTAGTGCATTGAAAGCCAACATTGGAGCACTTCGCAGGATACAGCATAGTGTTTTTGTTTTGTTTTTGCTGTTTACACATGTACATGTGTAAATTTCTTTCTTTTGTATGTGTAGCATTGTTTTCAATTTTGTTGGTTGGATCTAATTTATTGTGTACTAAAATGTACTGCTTTTGTGTATTTAGCGAGTATATAAAAAATGAAGTAATGTCTGTAACAAGTGTAACACTGAAGAGAAAAAGTCATGATTTATGATTTTCATTCATTGTACTGTTTTACGGTGAGCTCTTCAGTGTTTAAATGGCTATGATAGTTTTTCTCGATTTTTACACTCAACAAATGGTAGACTTGAAGCACAAATACCACAGTATCTAATTTATGCATCAACCCCTTGAACCTTCCTGCTCCTTTCTTTAGATGCAATTCTAATACACACTTTTTAAAAAACATTTCACACATTCCTATTCATTAAGATTTTTTTCACAAGCAACACACTGCAGTTTAACATTATAAGAGATTTCCACAACATTGCACATGACTCATAACATTGAATTTGGCCTGTCACAGTTTTACGTTTAGGATTCAGAGTCTGAAAAGAAAAAAGGCCAAATGTGAAACCTTCTAATTTTGTGCAATGGAGCCCAATATTGGAGCACATAAAAGAAAAAAAAAGCATAGTTTGTTTGTTATTTACTTTTACCACATAAAATTTCAGTTTTTTATGTATACGCCATATTGAACTTTATGTATCTACAATTATGTAAATTGTTTGTGAAAAATGAAATGTTATAAGATATAATGTTTAGTGTGTTCTGAGTTTATGTGGATAACACATTTATATATCTGCAGCAAGCGCAACACTGAGAGAAAAAAGGTCTAAGTCATGAGTTGAGATTTCTGTTAACAACTATGTTTTGCAATTTGTACTAAATGGTTAGAAAACAGCACTAACTGTTGTGCAAATGTAAATATGGATGTCGGAAATGCACCCAAGCGACTGAGAAACCTGCGAGGTCAAAACAGTTTGTTAGCAAGTCAAGCACCAAAATATCAATATCATTAAACCACACATTGCTTTTAGTGAGTGTGGGTGTGCAATCATCGCACCCCCCACAGGAGACTGTATTATGCTGCTTTCCAATTCTTTCTCAGCTTGTGCTGCTCTCCTCCAGAAAAGGACCAGGCCCACCCACCCAGGCCGTACGATATTTGTACCACTTCCTTTGTAAAAACAGCACAAAAAACATTGAATCCAGACTGAACAGAAATGCGAAAAGCTTTTTTCCCCCCAGATCTGTGTAAACAATCCCTGTAGTCAAACACTCACACCCTATCACACAAACCACTACTGACCACCAGAAGTATTATCAAACCATTTTATAGACTATAATTGGCTGCAGCTTTCTTTTATGGACAAAAATATTCCATATTATATACTTATATTTTAAGAGTGTTTTATTAGGATTTTTTAAGCTAGAGGTCTCAAAAATAGTACAGTTTCATAACGAGAATAAACAATCTTGATTCTTTCTGTGCTTTACCTAAATAATTCCCTTCTGACTGGTTCAGGTGAGTTTTAACTAGTGTACTGATACCAGTATCGGACAGGCCCCCGATCCAGCACTAAAATGGTGGTATCGGTATCGGCGAATACCAACAAATAGGGCACCAATACCATTTTGAGAGCCAAGTTTATTCAACTATTGTCACCCATTCCAGGTCGGCAATAAAAAGTTCTACTGGATTCACTTTGTATAAGTCTTTTTCCTGCTTCACAAAGGTAGGCAGCAGCTTGACAAAGCCATGATGGCAATTATTTTACATCCAAGTAGTATGCAGTGCTTCATATACACACACACACACATCAATTTCAAACAGATGGTATCGGCCAATACTGCACAGCCAGTTATCGGGCATCGGCGCAGCACTAGTTTTATTACAAGAAACAACATACACTATATTACCAAAAGTATTTGCTCACCCATCCAAATTATTGGAATCAGGTGTTCCAATCACTTCCATGGCCACAGGTGTATAAATTCAAGCACCTAGGCATGCAGACTGTTTTTACAAACATTTGTGAAAGAATGGGTCGCTCTCAGGAGCTCAGTGAATTCCAGCGTGGAACTGTGATAGGATGCCACCTGTGCAACAAATCCAGTCGTGAAATTTCCTCGCTCCTAAATATTCCACAGTCAACTGTCAGCTGTATTATAAGAAAATGGAAGTGTTTGGGAACGACAGCAACTCAGCCACGAAGTGGTAGGCCACGTAAACTGACGGAGCGGGGTCAGCGGATGCTGACGCGCATAGTGCGAAGAGGTCGCCAACTTTCTGCAGAGTCAATCACTACAGACCTCCAAACTTCATGTGGCCTTCAGATTAGCTCAAGAACAGTGCGCAGAGAGCTTCATGGAATGGGTTTCCATGGTCGAGCAGCTGCATCCAAGCCATACATCACCAAGTGCAATGCAAAGCGTCGGATGCGGTGGTGTAAAGCACGCCGCCACTGGACTCTAGAGCAGTGGAGACGCGTTCTCTGGAGTGACGAATCGCGCTTCTCCATCTGGCAATCTGATGGACGGGTCTGGGTTTGGCGGTTGCCAGGAGAACGGTACTTGTCTGACTGCATTGTGCCAAGTGTAAAGTTTGGTGGAGGGGGGATTATGGTGTGGGGTTGTTTTTCAGGAGCTGGGCTTGGCCCCTTAGTTCCAGTGAAAGGAACTCTGAATGCTTCAGCATACCAAGACATTTTGGACAATTCCATGCTCCCAACTTTGTGGGAATAGTTTGGAGCTGGCCCCTTCCTCTTCCAACATGACTGTGCACCAGTGCACAAAGCAAGGTCCATAAAGACATGGATGACAGAGTCTGGTGTGGATGAACTTGACTGGCCTGCACAGAGTCCTGACCTCAACCCGATAGAACACCTTTGGGATGAATTAGAGCGGAGACTGAGAGCCAGGCCTTCTCGTCCAACATCAGTGTGCGACCTCACAAATGCGCTTCTGGAAGAATGGTCAAAAATTCCCATAAACACACTCCTAAACCTTGTGGACAGCCTTCCCAGAAGAGTTGAAGCTGTTCTAGCTGCAAAGGGTGGACCGACGTCATATTGAACCCTATGGATTAGGAACGGGATGTCACTTAAGCTCATATGTGAGTCAAGGCAGGTGAGCAAATACTTTTGGCAATATAGTGTAGTTGTAATAAAATCTATGGAAGTTCAATAGTTTGAACTGCATCAAAACCTCATTATTTTTTTATTTTATTTTAAAAGAATCAGAAACAGCTTTATTGGCCAGGTTTTTGAACACAAACAAGGAATTTGACGTCCCTTTTCCAAACCTCATATTAAATTTTTTCAAACAACCAAACTATATTATATAAAATGCTCTTTAAAGGGGTGGGAAGAGAATAAATAAAAAAAATCAGAATAAGAGTATAAAAATTTGCATTTCACATTAAAAAAGTAATCAGTTGTAAGTAAAAGTAAGAAGGCAAGTTATATTGATGCAAAAGCCAGTTATTCTAGCAAAGTGTCGGACTCCCCAGAAAAGTTTTCTACTTTTGGTTCAACAGACAGTCTAGGAAAAAAAGCTGCTTCTGTCTCATTTCATTTTCATTATTAGAGCATTGTAGAGCTATTATGAAGGTAAGAGTATCTGATGTGAGGAGTTAGCACATTTGTTAGTTGCTCTTTTTTTAGCTCTATATCTTTACAGGTTGTGGATGAAGTGTTGGCATGTTTCCTAGACGCTGGTTGATGGTGGAACATTAAAAACAGGAGACCTCCTCTGGATGCATCTTATAAAGATACACCTTGGAATGATACAGCTTAATCTAAAAACCAAACAATGAGAGAGAAAATGGGCTAACATAAGTTTAATTTTTTGCAAAGACAAAAACTGACATCCTATGTATATGAAGTTTTATTTTTTGCGCAGGTTTTACAAACATGTTATTAAAAACTTCAAAACAGCCACCAGGCTTTTTAAGGAAGAAAACACCAAAGGCAAAATTTGATTTGAAGCAAAATTATATTATTCTGAAACACAAAAAAAATGAACTTTAAGGGATTTAAATCATTATAAATCCTTTTTAGTTGGAATTAAATATAACCAAAATGAATACACAATCTCTAAACAAGATTTTTTCTGTATTTTCACCATTGAGGCTTCTTTGATAAACAAATTAAAAATAATTGAATTTAACTTTAACTGAGACCTGATCTATGGCATTGATTTCTACCTGCCTTCGATACCAAAATACATCTGAAAGACATCACAGCATCCTTTCTCATTTAAGAACTGGTAGAGCTGTCCAAGGTCCATGTGATTGCCTCTATTCCCATGAGGGTCAAACATCGCCTCTTCAAAGCCTGTAAATTTGCGTAAGGAGTCTATACTCTCAACAGGCGTGCTGTCCTCGCCGTGGTGATTAAGGGTAATATCCTCTCTGTGTCGAATCATGATCTTCTTCCAAGTCAGAACCTTCACTCTGAAGTAAAAAAGAAAAAAAACAAATGCTTGAAACAATAATTACATTTGCTCTGTTGCAAAGTTTGCAAAAATAGGAGTAGTAAAGGTACCTGGACCAAAACTCCTCACAGGCTGACTTAGGGCCTTCAACACACACAATGCCAGGCTTTCCAGGCATGCTGAACCCCGAAAGGCCCAACTCCTTTGACCACTCCAAGATGTTCTTCCTCTTTGACTTGTTGTAGATGTGGTGACTGTAGATCCACAGTCGGCTAAACGCTTCTTGTGAGGGTTGAGAAGCAGACTCAGGTTTAGGAGCCTGTGCTGTTGATAAGCTCATCTTGATGAAATGCTCAAGGTTTTCTTTCACCCAGTCCACAGCAGCAAGCACACATAATTCTCCCTGGCAGTTTTCAATCAGGTATTTATTGAGGTCTGTCTGGATTTCTGTCTGCTGGGCTCTGCTAAGAGCTGAACACCTAGACATAAAAAAAAAAAAACTTTTACCAATTATTTTCATCTTAAAGTTCCACACAATTCGACGCTGGAGCTCAGGATTTAAATATGAAACAGCCAAAAGCAAAGATTTGGAAGGAACATGTGTATGTATTTATATTGCAAATGGGGTGATTTCCAAAGTTGTAAGTTTTACAGTTAAAACAGGGCTGCAACTAACGATTATTTTGTAAATTTATTAATCTGTCTATTATTTTTAACGATTATTCGATTAATAATCAGATAGAAAAACGTTCCTTAAAAAAGACTTTTTATAAAATAAAACCAGGTGAAAACTAAAACTTTTCCACTTGAGATCTGGATAGAGCACATGACAGACGAAAAGTTTTTCTATCTTAAATGCAAAATGTGAATTTTTTAAAATAAATTTGTTAAAATTGCTGCTAAAGGTGGGTTGCTCTGTCAGCTAATGGCATGTTTTATAGTCTCTACAATCCAGTTAACGATTAATCGTTTACTAAATTAGTTGACAATAATCGCAATTAATCCGATTAATTGTTTCAGCCCTTCTTTGGATACTGATTATCGACCCAACTCTGTATTAAACTTTACCATTTAGCTTTTACTTCCATCTGTTTACTGGTGTTCATAGATCTGTTTATCCAGGTATAGATTATCTTAGAAACCTCTTAATGCCTCCTCAGCACAGTTCTATTTATAGTCATAATACATAACACACTTCTAAATTAGTTTACTACAAGGGCTATGCACAAATCCGCTTTGTATATGGCCCCATTTTTATTTGTAATACATTATCTAAACTATGTAGAGCTTCCCTTCTGAGCCAAGAGCATAATTTTGTGTTTTTTTAGTTAAGATTTAGAGAAGTTTGTGGTTGCAATTATAGAATGCGGAAGCTGTGCAGGTATTATATAACAGCTAGGGATTTTTTTTTCTCTCCACTGTCGCTACAAGCATGTTTAGTGTGAGGGATTGTATTAGACTTGATGCAATCAACTGATTTTCCTTAAATAGAAAACTTTGAATTAATTTGACTGTATGATCTGGTTGAATTGTAAAGTGCCTTGAGATGTCATGTTTTGTGAATTGGAGCTACATAAAAGAACTGAATTGAATAGATATGTTGTAATAAAGTTTTGTTATTTTTCCAAATTCTATTCACATAATATCATATTTAATCACATATCCAGAGTGGAAAAACGTACCTTACTGTTATATCCGGCAACACACTGGGGTATTCAGACGGGTAGGCACAGGACAGAATAAATTCAGTCTAAGAACAAGATGAAACAACAAAGTAAAGAATTGAAGCATAAAACAAGCAACTATAATATTATTAGGTGATTGTTACAGGCGCATTACCCCATTCATAACGGAAGAGTGGAGCCTCTGTTTAATTAAAAACTGGGGTCTGGAGGGAGAAGGCTTGTCTCCAGAAGCCGAGTTTTCCACGTAGCTCCTGAGGTCCGCCAGAGCCAGCTGGTCGGTGAGGTCCAGCTCGTCCTCACCGGGAAACATGCTGGTTAGCAGCTCTACCTCGGCCAGCTGCGACTCGGCCCACTCCTTGTAAGACATGTTTTAAAAAATGACATTAAATCATTTGGACTCGGAAATCTCCCAAAATAGTTTCAAGTCGGAACTTTAAAAGTGGTGCACACAGGAAATTGACAAAATTCTTCGTGTCCCATTTGTTGATAACGAGCCGTGGCCGTGCATTCGCCATGTTGTGAGTGGCACGTTTTTCCGGAAAAAAAAAAAAATAAATAAATAAAAATTACTCTTTTTTTTTTTCAAAAACATGTTTCATGAACAATGCTATTTGTTCATTGAAGAGTTTTCCTCAAATGTAAAAATCATCATATGATTTCTTTTTGAATAGCTCCTTTATTATTATTATTATTATTACAAAAAAAAAAATCCACTGGACTTGGTTACCAAGTTTGAAGATGTTTCTCTTCCCATCCAGGAAGGTTTTTCAATTATTTTATTAATTAATTATTATTATTATTATTATTATTATTATTATTATTATTATTATTATTATATTAATTTTTAATTGTGGACTTTGGTTCAGAAGGTAGAAACGCTGGCTGATTCTGAATTTGGGTCAATTGTAGCTCCTGTCCTTATTCCTTCACCTTTGGAAGGGTCAAAAGTGGTTATGAAAGGAGCTTTGGGAAGGCAGATAAGATTTCCTTTTTCGCTTTCATTTAACCAGGTGATTTTAATTTAACATGTGTCCCTGTCTATTACTCAAATGCACATAATGAGAACTGATCTCTGGACTTTCATTACCCAACTCTGGCCTTTACCAGAATATATACTATTTTTTTCTTTCACATACTGCTGTCAGGAGCTTAGAACCCCAAGTCCTCAACAGTCAGTATCCTGCTTCTTTCCAGTATACATTTCAATTCCCCAGATATCTTCCAGGCTAATGAATTGAAAGGTGCAGAATACCTGGTTTTGAGTACTGAAACTGCACCGGCCTAAAGACATAAGAAAAATTGCCACTCACAACATGGGGGCAAGATTGACGTACGATAGGAAGATCGTGCAGTAGTTCATGTGTCTTCTTTTCTTTTACACGCATCGCATTTTTGTTCCCCTCTACACCGCACGTGTGTCATCTCGCGTTTTTTAGCCTATTTAGCGAAGCGTTTTGATTTATACCGACTGCAAACAGCCACAGATAGAAACCGCCTCTGCTCGCTTTTCTTTAATCTGGAGAAATAGTCAATTATGTCCGGACAAAGGAACTCATTTGAACAAAGTAAACGAAACTGAAAACGGCCAAAGCTTAAGCCTCTGCCTTTAACAGTAAGTTGATTTTGTATCTCTGCTGTCACATTATTTCCTTATGGAATGTCCCAGACATTGAACGCAACAGCAACGTGGCCTTAAAATCTTATATGCTGGCTCTTCTGCATGCCTGTCTAAAGCAGATAAAGAATGGGAAAGAAGAGGGGGAAAAACAGGAGCTTCAGAGAGGATGAGGACATTGATCTGTCTGGTAAATACAGAAATCACACATTTTAACTTATTCAACAACTGGAAAAGAAAACAACAACAAATTATTTATTGTTTAGGTCCATCCTGCAGACATATCAGGAAAGGTACTGACCAAACTCTTCTGAAGAAACTGTCTGCTGTTTCTGATTGGACCAATTGTCAAGATTGTAAGCATGAGGAGAATAAAGAAAATATCTGCCAGACTGAACCAGAGGAATCAGAGGAAAAGGAAACCGTTGGTGTATGGATGTGCTTGAAATGTGGGCATAGGGTGAGTTTGTAGGAGCCCTTCATTCAGCTGATTTTATTTATGTGTATAATCTTTTTAAATTAATGTCTCAATTGATCTTGTCAGGGATGCGGGAGGCATTCTGAGAACCAACATGCCATCAAACATTATGAAACTCCTCGCTCAGATCCACATTGCCTGGTGGTTAGTTTGGACAACTTGAGCGTATGGTGAGCCTGTTTTTTTTGTGTGTGTAAATAACAAGGAAAAATATGTCTTTTAATATGATTAAATCACTGCCTGTTTTTTGAAAATATTTTCTTTAAGGTGTTACCTATGTGATGATGAGGTCACATATTCAAGTACAGGGCAACTGGCACAGCTGGTGAAAAACCTGAACAAGCAGATCTCCACAGATCCCATGAAGAGACCACAGAAAAGTATGTATTAGTAGATATTTAGATGTATAAACAAATATGTCTCCCTCATGTATCTGAATCCACAGATTCCAGAATCTTTTCTTAACTAGTGTCATTCAGGAATGGGGTTAATGTTTAGAGGGATACAGACATCCTCAAACTCTTAAGATATGGGTCATACCATTCATGCATATACATTTTTAAATGAAGTAACTGTACCTCTCCAGTCTATTGTTGTAAACAGCCAATCAGCTGCCTGAAAGACTATGATACTTTTCTGTTGCTTACATTAAAGACAAATCCAACTGTGTGAAAATTGCAAAACACAAACACTTTTGATGTGCACACCTAAGGAACACCAAACACCATTGTCTTAACTGGTACTAAACATACTAGTTGTTATAAGAATTTCTGTTTCATATTCAAATGTGCATAAATGTTATAGGTAACCTCGATATTACTTTATTTTTCAACTGTAGCATTAATAAATACTTAGTATCTTGTTTATTTTTGTTTGTTTTTTAGTCATAGGTTCTTATACAGGTGCTGGTCATAAAATTAGAATATCATGAAAAAGTAGATTGATTTCAGTAATTCCATTTAAAAAGTGAAACTTGTATATTATATTCATACATTACATACAAACTCATATATTTCAGATGTTTATTTTGTTTAATTTTGATGATTACAAATGACAACAAATGAAAATCTCAAATTCATCATATCAGAAAATTAGAATATTGTGAAAAGGTTCAAAATTGATGGACCCTGGTGCCACACTCTAATCAGCTAATTAACTCAAACCACCTGCAAAAGCCTTTAAATGGTCTTTCAGTCTAGTTCTATAGGCTACACAATCATGGGGAAGACTGCTGACTTGACAGTTGTCCAAAAGACGACCATCGACACCTTGCACAAGGAGGGCAAGACACAAAAGGTCATCGCTAAAGAGGCTGGCTGTTCACAGAGCTCAGTGTCCAAGCACATTAATAGAGAGGCGAAGGGAAGGAAAAGATGTGGTCGAAAAAAGTGTACAAGCAAGAGAGATAACCGCACCCTGGAGAGGATTGTGAAACAAAACCCATTCAAAAATGTGGGGGAGATTCACAAAGAGTGGACTGCAGCTGGAGTGAGTGCTTCAAGAACCACCACACACAGACGTATGAAAGACATGGGTTTCTGCTGTTGCATTCCTTGTGTCAAGCCACTCTTGAACCACAGGCAGCGTCAGAAGCGTCTTGCCTGGGCTAAAGAGAAACAGGACTGGACTGCTGGTGAGTGGTCCAAAGTCATGTTCTCTGATGAAAGTAAATTTTGCATTTCCTTTGGAAATCAAGGTCCCAGAGTCTGGAGGAAAAGAAGAGAGGCACTTCATCCACGTTGCTTGAAGTCCAGTGTAAAGTTTCCACAGTCAGTGATGGTTTGGGGTGCCATGTCATCTGCTGGTGTTGGTCCATTGTGTTTTCTGAGGTCCAGGGTCAACGCAGCCACATACCAGGAAGTTTTAGAGCACTTCATGCTTCCTGCAGCTGACCAACTTTTTGGAGATGCAGATTTCATTTTCCAACAGGACTTGGCACCTGCACACAGTGCCAAAGCTACCAGTACCTGGTTGTAGGACCATGGTATCCCTGTTCTTAATTGGCCAGCAAACTCTCCTGACCTTAACCCCATAGAAAATCTATGGGGTATTGTGAAGAAGAAGATGCAATACACCAGACCCAACAATTCAGAAGAGCTAAAAGCCACTATTAGAGCAACCTGGGCTATCATAACACCTGAGCAGTGCCACAGACTGATCGACTCCATGCCACGCCGCATTGCTGCAGTAATACAGGCCAAAGGAGGCCCAACTAAATACTGAGTGCTGTACATGCTCATACTTTTCATGTTCATACTTTTCAGTTGGCCAACATTTCTATAAATCCTTTGTTTTTATTGGTCTTCAGTAATATTCTAATTTTCTGATATGATGAATTTGAGATTTTCATTTGTTGTCATTTGTAATCATCAAAATTAAACAAAATAAACATCTGAAATATATGAGTTTGTATGTAATGTATGAATATAATATACAAGTTTCACTTTTTAAATGGAATTACTGAAATCAATCTACTTTTTCATGATATTCTAATTTTATGACCAGCACCTGTATAAGGAAATTCTTGTAGCTGCCCAAAAAATTCTTTGTTCATTTAGTATTTAGAAAAAGTAGTAAGACTAATTAGATGTGCTAGGTTTTCTTTAATGCAGTTATTCTGTTATCTTTTGAATAAAACATGATGTAGAATTGTCATTAAATAAGCATTTGCCAAAACTTTCATAGATTTTCATTTTAAAGCTTTTGTAATAGTGATATATTTTTTTCATGTGTGCTATAGACTTCTAAAGGCTGCAAAGACTACATCTTAGCTCATCTTGAATTAAATAATGCATCAATATACTTCCATTTAAGTTAATTCTCAAGCTTACTGAGAGAAGCACACAGAGGATGTTTTAAATCCAAATAAAAAAATGACATGCAGTATCTATTTACTTTTTTTTTAAATTCAGGAGTGAAGGAGGATGTGGATGTGTTGGAGGTTAAACAGGAGACAGAAACTGTAAACCCAGAAGATGGTGAGGACAAGGAAAACAAAGACACCAGGAATAAACAGCGGAAAAACATCAAAAAAGAGAATGTTGGAAAATCTCCAACCCACAACACAGTTGAAGAAAATGACAGTGTTCCAGTCAAAGGGCTGAGCAACCTTGGAAACACTTGTTTCTTCAACGCAGTCCTGCAGGTAAGGCCCTTAGCCGATCATAACTCGGGGAGATGTCAGAGCTCCATGTTTTTTTTATCTGTGACTTTCTTTTCCAGAATCTTTCACAAACTCAGCTTCTGAGACAAATCCTCAACAAAATAACAGAAGAGAAAATGATCCTCGACATTCAACCTGATCCCTCTTTGGGTCTGGTGTGTTTTCACTCTGCTTAACCAATTCATAAATCACATAAACCTCCATTTTTACACCTTAATCAAATCATTTATTGTGATTACAGGAGCCTATATCAGTGCCATTAGATCAGCCTGGATCTCTAACATTGGCTATGTGTAAACTACTCAATGAGATCCAGGAGTCCAAAAAGGGTGTGGTAACGCCTCGCGAGTTGTTCTCACAAGTTTGTAAAAAGTAAGTTCTGTAACTATTATGCAGAGTAGTTGGATCCTTGTGCTTTATTTGTAATTTTGTCCTTGGATACATTAGAAGTTGTTTATTATTCCTTTCATCTCTGCAGGGCTGCCAGGTTTAAAGGATTTCAGCAGCAAGACAGCCAGGAGCTGCTGCGGTACCTGCTGGATGGGATGAGAGCTGAGGAGCTTAAAGTATGCTTTCAATTTTCAGCATTTCCACCAAAATCAGTAGTTTTAAATATTTTTTATTGAGTAAAATTAAATAAATATTTGTTTAAAGCATGGGGTGAAAAACATTATCCAACAGTGATGTTAATTTAGGATCTTAACTAAATTATCATCTCCGTTGGATACTGTTTCCCACCCGATGCATGAAGCTGTTGCAGAACTGGACAGCTCTTTCAGTGACAGACTGCTGCACCGTAAATGCACCAGGGAGTGTTATCACAGATTCTTTCTTCCAAACAGCTGCTGGACTCTATAACCACCACTGTTCCCAAAAACCTCAATAAGCTGTTAAATTTACACTGATTTTGAAGTTTCTACCTCAGTCAGTTAAATAAAATGCTGCTGTTCTTTTGCACATCTCTGATGTTGCTGCTATTCTTAAATAACCATTACTGTAAAAATGTCCATAGCCGTATAGTGGTTATTTATTATCCAGGTGCACAGTATTTATAATCTTTTAGCTGCTGTAAACACCAGAATTTCCCCATTGTAGGACAATAAAGGGATTTTCTATTCTAATTAATCATTAGGAGGATTGAGATTCTTTTTAATGTCCCATACTAAGTATACAGAAAAATGGTGCTTAACAACCTAAAATGTATCTTTCTCAGATTTAGAGAGCTTATAGAATGTGCTGCTCAACAATCACAAAGCAAAAGTTTTAAGGTTAATCTGTGTAACAAAACATATCATTTTATTTATCTTACATCTACTGTGTATTTTGCTCTCCTTATAGTTTTAATTTTTTTGTTTGAATACCTTCTGCAGAGAGTAAGCACAGGAATAATGGAGAGTTTAAAACAATCAAGTAAAGGTGCAGATGAAGACGAGCTAAAAGCTGTAGTTAAAGGTAAGTTAGTTCAGTCTTGTCTTCAGTTTTATAAGCATTAAAAAAATGTTCTTAGTCATTAGCCGTTTTTTTAGGAAACAGAGGCATCTTACAGTGTTATTCCTTTTTCAGAGTATGAGAAAAATGGAGTTCCTAAAAACTTTGTGGACCATGTGTTTGGTGGTGAAACGACCAGCACAATAATGTGCCAGCAGTGCAAAACGGTAAGAATTGCAGCACAGAACACCCACCCCGCATGGACATGGACGATACATGCACCTTAGTTTAGTTTTGTCTTCTTCTTGCAATAACTCAGTGCAATATATATGTGTGTGTGTGTGTGTGTATATATATATATATATATATATATATATATATATATATATATATATATATATATATATATATATATATATATATATATATATATATATATATATATATATATATATATATATACACTATATTGCCAAAAGTATTTGCTCACCCATCCAAATTATTGGAATCAGGTGTTCCAATCACTTCCATGGCCACAGGTGTATAAATTCAAGCACCTAGGCATGCAGACTGTTTTTACAAACATTTGTGAAAGAATGGGTCGCTCTCAGGAGCTCAGTGAATTCCAGCGTGGAACTGTGATAGGATGCCACCTGTGCAACAAATCCAGTCGTGAAATTTCCTCGCTCCTAAATATTCCACAGTCAACTGTCAGCTGTATTATAAGAAAATGGAAGTGTTTGGGAACGACAGCAACTCAGCCACGAAGTGGTAGGCCACGTAAACTGACGGAGCGGGGTCAGCGGATGCTGAAGCGCATAGTGCGAAGAGGTCGCCAACTTTCTGCAGAGTCAATCACTACAGACCTCCAAACTTCATGTGGCCTTCAGATTAGCTCAAGAACAGTGCGCAGAGAGCTTCATGGAATGGGTTTCCATGGTCGAGCAGCTGCATCCAAGCCATACATCACCAAGTGCAATGCAAAGCGTCGGATGCGGTGGTGTAAAGCACGCCGCCACTGGACTCTAGAGCAGTGGAGACGCGTTCTCTGGAGTGACGAATCGCGCTTCTCCATCTGGCAATCTGATGGACGGGTCTGGGTTTGGCGGTTGCCAGGAGAACGGTACTTGTCTGACTGCATTGTGCCAAGTGTAAAGTTTGGTGGAGGGGGGATTATGGTGTGGGGTTGTTTTTCAGGAGCTGGGCTTGGCCCCTTAGTTCCAGTGAAAGGAACTCTGAATGCTTCAGCATACCAAGACATTTTGGACAATTCCATGCTCCCAACTTTGTGGGAACAGTTTGGAGCTGGCCCCTTCCTCTTCCAACATGACTGTGCACCAGTGCACAAAGCAAGGTCCATAAAGACATGGATGACAGAGTCTGGTGTGGATGAACTTGACTGGCCTGCACAGAGTCCTGACCTCAACCCGATAGAACACCTTTGGGATGAATTAGAGCGGAGACTGAGAGCCAGGCCTTCTCGTCCAACATCAGTGTGCGACCTCACAAATGCGCTTCTGGAAGAATGGTCAAAAATTCCCATAAACACACTCCTAAACCTTGTGGACAGCCTTCCCAGAAGAGTTGAAGCTGTTCTAGCTGCAAAGGGTGGACCGACGTCATATTGAACCCTATGGATTAGGAACGGGATGTCACTTAAGCTCATATGTGAGTCAAGGCAGGTGAGCAAATACTTTTGGCAATATAGTGTATATACTACTTTACCCTGTATATAGCTAGCTCTTAGTTATAGAAAACATATTTATTGTGCAGGAATAAGGTCTTAGCTCTGTTACACTGGTAGCCAAGTAATCGACATTTCGTTGTCAAGATTCACCTTGTGTTTTTTTGTGCAATGACAATAAAGGAAGTCTAAGTCTAAGAACACATTCACTATAAAATCACCAACTGGTGTTCATTTTATATTCATATTAATTGATATTCTAACTCAAAAGTAGAGCTTACATTCCATGTTGTTTCTACCTTTTTATAAATATAAGTAGCCTATGCATTATAGGGTAGCCTATGTGTTTGTATTAAGCACTCCATCAAGAGTCAATATGAACTAGAATTTCCTTTTAGCTTCAGCCGTTTTGGTGTATGTCTCTAAAAATGACCCAAAATACAGAATTTTTGGCTTCTTTGTTTTTACAAAATAACTCAAACCTATTCATATAGAAAGAAGTGCACTTCTATTAGGTGCTCTTCTACACTAGTTCCCAGATCTAATCTGAATGTAGCTCTATTAATCAGCTATGATAAGTTTTCCTCTAGTTGAAATAGAAATGTATCATCACAGCACAACCCTGCCACCACCATGTTTTAGGGTGAGGGCAGCATGTGTGTTTGGGCTAATATGCAGTGTTGGTTCAAACAGAGTTGCCATTGGATCTTGGCTGCTTGTCTCAATCCAATCCACTTTGTTTATATAGCACATTTAACAACAAAAATGGTTCCTATGTGATGTACATTAAAACATACAACCCACCCAACACACACAAAAAAAGCAGGAAGAGTTTAGAAATAAATAAAAAGGACACAGAGGACCACACAATTCTGCGGTGTTAAAAGTAAAAGCGGGCCTTATGATGAGACTTCAAACCCTCCACTGTGGAGGCTGTTCGTATACAGAGGGGCAAAGTATTCCAAAGTCTGGGGCCAACTAGAGAAAAGACTCTGTCCCTTCTGGTTTTAAGCCTCTTCTTAGGCACTATTAGCTGTAGATGGCCCTCAGACCTCAGAGCGTGTGCTGGAGAGGGTTGGTAATGTATGTATTGAGGAGCCATCCCATTCAAAGCTCTAAACACAAACACACAAAATCTTAAAATAATTTCTAAACTGAACAGGGAGCCAGTGCAGAGATCTAAGAATTAGTATGATGTGTTGATTTTTTCCGGTCCCCATTAAAAGACGAGCCGCTACGTTTTGGACTAGCTGCAGATGGGAGAGGGCTAATGCCTGAATAAAGTGCATTGCAGTCCAGATGGCTGGAAATAAAAGTTTAAAAACTGATGAAAGAGTTTAAAACATAAAAACAGTTTTACCCTAGATAAAAATCTGACTGTTGGCTAAAACGTATCCACAACTTTGTCCTTTACCTGTCTTCCATGTTCCCTGATTTTCCCAATACTGCTTGTGAGCTTACTGTGTGCATTTTCTAAAACACATTCCTGCACAAAACAGCTGTATTAATACTGAGACTATATTTGACCTATTATAAGTATTATTGAGGGTATCATAGTAAAGGAGGCTGAATATACATGCAAACTGCACAAGGATTTCTGTCATCTTCCACTTCTCAATCATTCATTACTGTACTTTGTGTTGGTCTTCACATACATTTTGTATAAAATGCATAAATTGAATTAAGTAATTGATGTTTTTGGCTCTAATTTTACAAAAAGTACCATCCCTTGTTGCTGGATATGATAACGCTCATTACTCCCTCACTTTCTTTCAGATTTCTGTTGTCACAGAGATGTTTTTGGATCTCTCTCTTCCTGTTTCCGATGAGGTGAAGGAGTTGTTTTTATTTTTTCTGTGTGTTGATATTAATCTTTAAGTTTCTGTTGACATGTCTGTGCCTCTTCTTGGAAACCTTTCGCAGGCCTACAGAAAGAAAAACCCCAAAAAAGGAAACCGTAAGACCAGTGAGTCAAGTCAGGATGGTAGAGAGAGCCCTGATTTGACCAGAGGGAATGATGACACTTCAATTGGATCCGGTAGCAAATATCAACAAAAAAAAGCTAAAAAGCAGGCAAAGAAGCAAGCCAAGGTATTCCAGTGAACCACTTTGGATATTTTTTTTTTTGTTTGCAATAAATACAATTTCTGGTGTATAAGAATAAATTAAAATATATATTTTGCCCTTTTCTTAGCATCAAAAACGGCAGCAGAAGCTTGAAACCATAAAGACTTTAGGAAATCTGACATTTCCAAGCGATGCAAATGGTGAACCAACTGATGTAACTGAAAATCCAAAAGACGCAGAGAACGTGGACGATGCGCCATGCGACGAAGCCTCATTGAATGAACAAGATCCTGAACCTGTCTGTGTATCTGAGCAGGATGAGGCTGTCGAGCAGGAGAAAGAGGAGGACAAGGATTCAGTGACTGACAGTGTCTCGTTAGCCGATTCTCCTGTCAGTAACCGTTTTAATGTCTTGTCAGAGGAACAGCACTCGCATGACGGCGCTTCCTGTAATGAAATGTCGAACGCGGATCTGGAAGGAGAACTGGACACGCAGCTGGCAAATAAACTGGAACAGGTGAATTTAGATGACGCATTTATAGACCCTGATGCCATGGAGCCGGCCGCGGAGAGCGAAGACGAAGCTGCAGAGGATATGGAATATACAGTGATAAACCAAGACCCAGAGACGGCCTTCGACACGCTCTCAACCAGGACAAGCCCAGAGAAACAGGAGTGTTCGGTGCAGTCTTGCCTTTTTCAGTTCACCGAAGTGGAAACTCTCACACAGAACAACAGCTTGCTGTGTGTCACCTGCACCAAGCAACGTAGGAGGAAAGAAAAAGCTGGAGGTACAAATGTTTACACGCTATATTAACATAAGACGTTGAAATTTAGCTTTTTTATTTTTATTTTTTTATATGATGAATAAATTTTCCTGTGTTTTTTTTTTTTTTTTCTATTGATTTAGGATCTGAAAAAAACATCTACACCGACGCCTTAAAGCAAATGTTGATCTCCTCCCCACCACCTGTACTTACCCTTCATTTGAAAAGATTTCAGCAGGCATGCCGGCTTATAAAAATACATCTAAATAATAAATTTTATTCTATTTTTTTAAGGCATCTGATCACCACAATTTTTTTTCCCCCTCTAGAATGGATACAGCATTTGTAAAGTGAACAGACAGGTTCAGTTTCCTTTGATTTTGGATCTTGCTCCTTATAGTTCAACCAAATGCAAGGTTTGTGTTGGAAATATTTGTTCCCATTTTTGTATAAGCTAGCAATCTTGAAATGACTAACCAATGTTTTCTCCCACACAGAATATCTCTGAAGGAGACACTCAGATTCTGTATAGCCTGTATGGCATCGTAGAGCACAGCGGGACCATGAGGTCAGGCCATTACACCGCCTATGTAAAAGTTCGACCTAAATCTCCATTAAATGATAAAAAAGGTAGGTGTATTTGACAGTGGCGTTCAAGAAAACAATTATATTTGTTTGAAGTTATTAGTGCCTGTTAAAGGTGTTCATAACACTTGAACCTAGTACCAGAAATGTCTGCGTTTTGTCTTTTTGTGTGCTTTTTTTCCTTCTATGTGATAATATTGTGAAAAAGGAAAAAAACTTTGCAGGACTTAATTTTTTTATTAATGAAAATTAAAAAAAATCTGCATATGATTTGTATTCGGTCTCCTTTATATTTGAAACTGACAAGAACAGTCAATCCCATATGCCACTATGGTGCTTTTATCAGACTGGAATACTTTTCCAATATAGTGGTGCTGATCAATTTTAGCAGGAACCACAATGCTAATCAGAGGTTTTGGGAACATTAAATTAAACTCATGGAAGAAAAAATGTTAAAAGTATTGAGACTGGGACTGGGTCTGTCCCTTTGCAGGCTGCCAGCGCTACAATCAAATGGATTTAAATATATTTATGAATTATAATAGCTTATTCAACGTCTTTTAGTGGATTTGAAGTGAAGTCTGCTTGTAAGTTTCAGCCTTTTGATGTGCAAAGCTAATAGAAACGCACCAAAAGACTTCAAAACATGGATTTAAAAAGTATTTCCATTCAGGAGACAGAATACAAATCCAAATATCTCATTTTTTAGATTTTTGTTTGTGAAATAATTTTAAAACCCAAGCATGAACTTAGTTTCAACTTCACTTTACAGAAAAACTTTATTGAATGCATACTTTTGCAAAGCATTCTAAATTTGGTAAAAAAAAAAAAAAAAAAAAATTTTTCTTTTAGCAGATGCAGAGCCCCCTAGAGGATCCTGGTTCAACATCAGTGATACAAGTGTTCAACCTGTCAGTGAAAGTAAAGTTCAAAGCTGCCAAGCCTACCTCCTCTTCTACGAAAGACTCCTCTAACTTTTATGTCCATATGTACTCAGGAAAGACTGACCAAACCTGCTGCTTCAAATTAAACTGCACAAGAAATCTTATTCAGGACTTTGAAACTGAGTTTGTTTTGAGTTCATTAGTATAGGTGCTCTGCTGAATATGTGAGTAATTTTACTCATAATTAACATTAAATCAACCAGGAGAGGTGAATGAAAATCTATAAAATGTATATCTGTCATTTACAGGGCTGCCAACTTTTCACCTTGGGGTGAGATATTGAAATAGTTTTGACAGGAAACCTGTCAGGGTTACATGAGGATAGGTGCAGCTATAGGTTGGAGGATTTCAGAGAATTTAACTGAAACAAAGTGGCAAAATGTGGAATTTTTATAGCACAGTAAATCTTACTGAGTAACAACTGGTCTGTAGTTATGTGTATCATTTTTCTCACAATATACATTATTTTCTACATTCTTGTGTGTTTTTTTTGGGTGAATTGAAGTAAAGCAGAATGGGCCCTACCAACATACTTGCATCTTAAAAATACTTTAAACTAAGAATTTCACAACTTTGCTCATTAATTATTCTCTGCAGTTTAAGTAAATTAAACAATGGGGAACCAATAAGCTATTACTGGATTACTGGCACTGATGCAGGAACCAGAGCAATTGAAACCTATGTAAACTACACTGTGTATGAATATTTGGTAATGGGCTAAGGATTAAAAATCTGCATTCATTCTGTTATTAGTTTTTCTTACAATTGGCAAAATGGCTAAACAACTCAGACCTTCTAAGAGGCTGTAGATTATATAAAAACTCACCATGACAGGAGACGGCACTTCTCTGGATGTTTCATTTGAAAGATGTGATGGAAATAAAGTTTTTAAACATATTCAATGGACCAAATTAAAGATAAATGAATAAGATAAGTAATAATAAAATAAGAACATCCCTGTGGTTTCTTCTCTATGAATAAAAAAAAAAGTTGCAATGGTTCTTTTTCTTTTTGTCGAGCTCCTATGGGTTTGAGAGGCAAACCTGGAAGCTTTAAGAATTAAAATATTTGTGTTGGTTTAATTACTCCTAAATACCAACGGGAGATTATTAAACTAGACTGGGCAATAATTATTTTGCAAAACATGGTCCTTGTGTGTTAGCACTAAGGTGGTATTAAAAACGCGGTCTGGATTTTGATCACCATGGTTTTATCTTATACATAAGTGGAACAGAGTTGTAGAGAAGAGGATTACGGCCACTGGGGAAAAAAAAGTTCTGATTTTTACATTTTATTTCGGTATAATAAGAGGAAAAAAAGTCAGAATTCTGACAGCTAACAAACATTTAGCATCAAGCCGTATCTTTTAGAGACTAAACTAGCTCTCTTGTTTTAATCACCTTTTGCTCTTCCAGTAATGAAATGGCATCACCGGGGACCCCTTGGGCATGTAAAAAGTCACCTAATTCCGTAATTTTCTGCCAATGTGTTACTGGCCCTCCCAAACAACTAACATCTTTGTCAGTGAAGCTGAGTTCTCCCGCATCTCTTCCTTCATGGTGCCCATCTACATCAAGATCCAGAATTCTAAGAAAAAATGTCAGCATTCTGAGATTAAAGTCAAAATTGTGAGAAAAAAAACTGACTTTAATCTCAGAATGCTGAGATTAAAAAAGTCAGAACTCTGACTTTTTTTCCTCATATACTGATAAAACATTTAAAAATCTGTTAACTTTTTTTTCAGTGGCCCTAATTCTCTTCCTTAGAGATGAGTTTTAATGTCTGTAATTTTTTTGTGTGAGAAATTGGTAATATGGAATGAGAGTGTGTGAAGACACCGAGATGGGTGAGTCTCACTACTAATAGGTGAGAGTTGACAGCCCTGCATTTATATTTATGGTTATTTCAATTAACAACTGGAAACCTGCTATTTAACGTTTCTGTCACTGCGCATGCGCAGAAAGGGGTGTTTGGTTTTCCTGGTTTTAAAGTCACATGACAAGAGGAAAGTCCAGCTTCGGTCGGCCACAACCATCCCAAATTTATTAATGTCACTTTGAGACATCGAACATGGCAGGTCAGTGAATGGTTAACCATTTCCTAATAAACATCTTGGTGGGATTTTATTGACGCAAGGCCGTTTATGTGGAGTCTAATAGAAAATTTGTCTACTTGACAGCAGTTAAAGCTAACGGTCTAGCTTATGATAGGAAAAAGCTCTTTATTTTTGGTAATATTTATGACACTTTGAAATCTCTAGGAATGCATTTGTGATTAAAAAGCACGACGGAGTTTGACAGGTATTAAATATTTAGCACTTCCCGCTGTTATTCCTACTTTAGCCAACTTACCGAAACATGAGTCAGCGTTTTTTTTTCACCCGTTGAACTTGTTTTAAGCTGAAATGTTCAACTTTAATCCATCCTTTCCGCTAATAAACCGAAATATTATCCCCATGGCCTAACCCTAGGAAAGGTAATACATTTGCTGTTTAAAAGACGTAATTGTGTAATAAGCTTTTTACATCATTAAAGCTTATTTTCTTTATTTTGCACTGTATGTTGTTTGTGTTGATCGTTAGGCAGCAGTTGTAAAACCGTTAATATTTTTGACTTTCTCGGATATTTAACTTTATTCAATCTATTATGATGAAACTGAAAGCTGTCGTTGATAGATTAATCTCGATCCTTCAGTTGCATAACATGAAATTATGTAGAAAAATAAAGCAATCTAAAAATGTTATTCAAATAAAATACCTTCAAATAATGTGTACATTATTATTTTAATATGTTTTCTATGATAATGGGCCCAGTATAAAAATGTTGAATAAATAACAATATAACACAATCAGATTTCAGCTTCTTAGCTGATAGCTCTTGAATTGCACTTTTTTAGTTTTTTTAGAATAAGTAAATCTCATATTTTTTAGGGATAGTTATCTCAATTTGTACTCCAATTTCACTTCCTTCCTTAAAAATAAACATTTCCTGACATTTGATGAAATAAGTATCTTAAGTATTATATTAGAATCTATGTAATAAGATAAATAGCCATATAAATTAGGAAAAGTGCACTCTTCTTACTTAAAAAGCTCAGTGCGGAGAAGTCTTTGCAAAGTAAAAGAAAGAACAATCGTTTAATGATAATACCAGATATTTACAAAAGATATGTAAAAAAAAAAAAAGAATTAGATATTTAACATTGATCAGAACTAACAATTCATAAATATTAACCTCTACAAAAAAAAATGAAAGCAGAAAATGATTCCTTTAAATTCACAAAGTTCACATTCCCTTTGAAAACTTTAGAAAGCCTAGATAATGATATTGATGATGTCATGCAAGGTTTTTAATTTGAATGAAGTCCATCTTACTGGTTTGTTGAGGAGAGGGGTTCTCTGTCCTCTGCAACATGTCCTGAGAGGACATTATTAAAAATATTTCCTCCTGTGACGAATTCAAAATAAAGAAAAAGAGATTAAACTGTGTGTCCATGGCAATAGCTATATTTGTGAGGAATAGTGGGAAGCTTGTTAGCTTCTGAAAGTGATCCCTTTTGCACGGAGTCTGATGGTGCATGATATTTTATGGGTGTTGTGCTGCAGAAGGGATTAATGCAATTCAGTTGAATTCAGAATACCATAATAACGATTATGCACATCCAAGTTCCATAAAAAAAATAAAAAAAGTAGGCAAGCTGAAAATATGTGTGCAATGTGGCCCTAAGAAATTACAGTTCCATTAAAAGAAGAAGAAAGTTTAAAATAATTATCAAAAAATTTCCCTCAAGATTCTGGAATTTACCAAAAAGATTTAGTTAATAATAATTACACTATGGTAAAGACAATTTATACTAATTTAATGTTAGAAATGTTACATAAAGAGTTAGGTTAAGCTTTTTTTTTTTATGCATATGTAATTATCAAGTTTCAGTTAAGTTTATAATCCATGTTTCTCTACATTTTTTCTCCAGTTCTTGCATGTTTTAATAATGCCTCATCGATCACCCCTAATATCTAATAATCCGATTTTACACACAGACAGCTTGTTGTTTATACTGGTCTATTTCACTGTGTGTGAGTTAACAGAACACTGAAAAACTTTTTGACTAGTTTTTAAAAAGCATGACTGGAAATGGCTATTTTTACTCCCTAGGCTGAGCTTCTGAGAACCATGACTCTGCAAGCTCCTCGTACATCAGTATTCACCTTTCAGTCTGCGTTGCACAGTGCCCACGTGCTCCAGTGTCTGAATGAGCAGAGGCAGCAGGATATCTTGTGCGATGTGACGTTGGTGGTGGAGGACAGGAGTTTTCGGGCCCATTGCTCAGTCCTGGCCTCGTGCAGCGAGTACTTTCACAGTAGAGTTACTAGTCTCTCCAGACAGAAAACCATTATCACCTTACCTGAGGAGGTTGGTGCTCCAGCATTCACCTACATTTTGTTTTCTAATAAAGCTTCAAACAATTGTTTTGTTAATATTATTACTTTTTTGTTGCAATTTATCACGTTACAACCATAAATTTTCTAACATTTTATTTTTCCTTTTTGTAGGTCAAGACAAAGCTAAGTTAGGTTATAAAAAAACATAAAAGAATCTTTTGGTTCAATTAAGTTTATCGATATAACACAAATTCACAACACGGTTCTTTACAGAGATAACTGAATTAGATCTTACAGTCAGATTGGCTCAAAGTTTTATATCTAAGGAAAACCAGCTGATTGAATCGACTCATTGGTTGAATCTTTATTTAAAAGTGAAAATATTATAGAATAACTGCCTTGAGAAGAATCCAGCTCTGGGGCGGCTGCAAGGATGACTCAGTTTGTTGACTCATAAAATATTGTTTCTTTTTTTCCTCTTCCAAACCCAGCTTTTATGCAAGAAAAGTAAGAGGAAAGTTGTTATACAGGAAAAGCAATATGTAGTTTGCAGCTTGCAGCAGATATGTGGAAAATAGTATACAGGTCAGACAAAATCACAGTTAAACTATTTAACTTAAATGCAAAGTGCTATGCATGGTGGAAAAATAACGCAGTACGAGAGTGATGCAAACATCCTGTTGGGGAATAGTGCTTTCATCAGCACGGACAGCAAAACTGGATAGACTAAGATCAGAGGAGCTAGAATGCAAAGCAAAGATCATGCTAAAGTTTTCAAAGCCATGTGCTTAATGGTGCATCTTATAGCCCTCCACCTTCAGAAAAAAAAGAAGTTGGTGTTTGTAACGTGATAAAATCTGTTTAAATTCAAGGGGTATAAATATTTTTCCAGGGGAATGGGCTGTCAGTTAAAGTGTGCGTTTTTTGTTTTTTAATGATAACAGTGGAAAAATGCATTTAAAACTGATGTGTTTAAAAAAATGTGATTGAATTTAACTATTTTATTATACCTACAATTGTTACCCTGTGTTTCAAGCTTAGCCAAGTTTCATTTGAACTCTTTATGTCGGAGTAACTCCTGCTTTAACAGATA